TTGGATTCCTGAGGTTGAAAAACCCTCAAATACCAACTATCGAGAAAATTGTTAGAGCCGTTCTAATGATAGCATGACTGAAAATACATATATAATTATGTATGTATGTATGTATGTATGTGTCTTAACAAATATATATACATACATACATAATACAACAAGAAAATCAAGCCAAATATTTTCTCATACATACATACATACATACATACATACAATTTTTACTCGTATAATAATAAGAATAAGATTATTATTATTCTAGGTAGCGAATCCAAAAGAAGATAGGAGATAGGCAAAGGCGCAGCAAGACTAAATAGGCGGAAAATACTTCAACGAAATATTTATATTCAATAAAAGCATGTGAATCTATGTGAGACATATTTTTACTGACAATTTCTCGATAGGGTTATCCAAAGCAGCTCTGATGGCCAAGTGCGATAAAAATTGGCGACTTAAGAGATGATTCCGTTGTTTTTCATGATTATGTTCCAATATTGCGTCGATGATGAGGTTTTCTCCAATTGTTTTCATAAAGACTTCGCAAAAATATTTTTTGCATGTACATACTCACCTTTTTACGTCACCTTGCAAGTCTTTTTGGAAGCAAAATTTGTAGCCGTTAATCAGTAACAGCGATTTTCCTTTTTCAGTTGAAATTAGCATGCATTCCATTTTTTCAACGTCCTTTCACTAACAACATTTTGAACAAGACAACTAAACAATTAGTAAATTTGAATAGCAACCAAAGTGTATATATTACATATTATAATAATATGTAGGTATAAGGTAAATTATTTAAAAGCAACACAAAAAAATTTGAAATATAAAACACCAAAAAGAGAAGCACCCGGTGCATTTTCTGTTTAACTATTTGCAAAAAGAGATGTATAAATTAATGTAATTGAGGTTACCTGAATAAGTAAGTATACATATGGTAAAACAACAATAAATAATGTATTGGTCGAAGTTAGGCAATAAAGAATGATGTCGTCAGAGAGAGGACAGGTTGTTTTATTTTTAGGAAAGAGACTTACAAATTTTACATCACAAGGCCTAGCCTAGTTAGTAGAAGAGCCCACATGCATTACCTACTCCGTTTCCAATACCTCGTAAAGTGCGGCATTATGGAGCGGCAGACTGGAAAATCCAAAACTCTTTTTCTCGACTTTTCCATGATCCGATGTTTGCTTTAAACACAAAAATTCCTCCAAGGCTGCAAGAGGTTACCGAAATAAGGTATGTAATTGTATATTCCACATTCCAATAAAACATCCAGCGTCGGAAAACCCTGGTTTAACAAGCAGGATGTCCGAGCGCTTGCAAACACACCACCGCATGTCGTGCGTGGCGTAGAAACCAATGCGAACAAACTCCACGGCTCGGCCAGAAATGATTGCAACCGCATAACCAACGAGGCTAAGAATTTACGCAACCAACAAGTGCCTAATCGACTTTTAGACTGCCCCAGCGGATCTTGGTCCTTTGCCAAGACCATAGGAAAAAATTTCACATCTTCTTTTCCACCTTCAGTTAAGGACAATAATTCCATTGTAGTATCGTCAAAGAAAAAAGCAGATATCTTTGCCAAACATTTTTACACCAGACTCCACAGAGATGCCATAGAGATACAGAAACACCACAATTACTTTAACAAAAGAGAATAGGGCATGAACCTCAACAAAAACTGGTTGCCAGTTCTCCGAAAAACAAAGACCCTTCCTTTCCGAGAACGAGACAAGGAAAATAGCTTACCTACTACAAGGTACACCCACAACCCTGAATATAAATATCGCAGGTCCAACAACGTCGAATTCACATTCCGAGTTGAGCTCTCAAAGCGACAGCATACGCCAAGCCAAGAGAGAACTCAGTTCAAGACAGTTAGTTTGCGTGCCGAGGGGAATGTTGACTAGTGCCATTTCCCGGAGCCCAATCCGACTACCAGCTAGTGTGCCAGTTATTGTTTCAATGTGCCAGTTATTGTGAAGTTCCAAGTAGTGCCAGTTAGTGTGTGCCACCTAATTCCAAGATGCCCGACAAATCTCTGGAAGAATGGAAGGCCTCCATTACACAACAAATCCAAGGTCTGCAACAGCAGAACCAAACCTTGCGTTCCGAAACCACCAAGCTCGAACAAGATTCCGCCAAGCTCAAACAAGAGTCCGCCAAGCTCAAACAAGAGTTAGAACTTCTGAGAAAGGAAAACCTTAGGCTAAAGGTTGCCGAAAGCGCCTTCCACCAGGCAGACAACGCCAAGTCAGCTGAAATTCTGCGACTAACCAAGCTGATCGACCTCCAAAACATGGAGATCGGCGACAGCAGCGACAGTGGTGCCGACGAATCCGACACCGAATCCCAGGCACTATCCCAGCGCCAGCACGATTATGAACCCGACGTTGACGACTTCCAGCCCGTCCAGTCTCGACGGCGCAGGAAGAAATCCTCCGATAGCAACAGCGGAGAGCCAGCCCTCAAGAAATCTTCAGTGATTGTGCACACAGCACAATCAAACACAACCGGACCCAGTGGTCCCAAAAAAGGTTTCGACCTACGCCCGCTACCTGGCTTCAACCTGCAAAGTTTCCAGGCCAAACCTCCAGAGCCCGCCACAGCTCCAAAGGCGAAAAACGAGAGAATCCCGCCTATTGTACTCAGGAACAAATCGAGGTACAACGATATTGTAAACCACCTCAAAGCACAGAAGATCGAATTCGGACCGGCTACCAATACCAATGAAGGTATCAAAATCCACCCAAAATCAGGCGACGACTACAGGAAGATCCAATCTTACCTTGAAGAGACCCAAGAACCCTTCCACACCTTCTCCTTCCCAGAGGAGAAGAAACTAAGGGTGGTGATCCGAGGACCCCTCGAACACTGGACAACAGATTTCATCAAAACTGAACTTGAAAAGTTAAAGTTCCACCCGTCAGCCGTAATCCGTTGGTACAACGCCAAAGGCGAGCCAGTGCCTCTGATACTAGTAATAGTACCATCAGCAGAATCCAACATCTACAAAGTGATGACAATCAACCATGTGAAAGTCCGAGTGGAAACGCAAAAAACCAACCAGCGCTCCACTCAATGCCACCGCTGCCAATTACATGGACACTCGCAGTCGAGATGCCAAGCCCCGCACAAATGCGTCAAATGTGCAGGCGACCACCCGTCCTCAGCCTGCACCAAAACCAGGGACACCGCCGCCACCTGTGCAAACTGTGGTGGTCCCCACCCAGCCTCCTACCAGGGATGCAAGAAACACCCCAAGCACGCCAGGAAAGCCAGTTCCAAAACCGCTCCCAAAACGACGTTCCGCTGGGGTGACCAGCAGCAGATGAACCCAAGCAGACCGCTTCAACATCAACCAACAATTGATGCGATCGCCAAGCAGCTCGAAGACCTGCAAAGACAGCTAAACGCCCTCCGCGTTAAAGGTCATCCTCCACTGAGGAAAACAATAACCAGGGGAGCCACCTACAAACCCCACAAAGATGATCCAGACATTCAGGGATCGCCAATCACCATACCAGGACCTGGGATTCCAGAATATGTACTAACATAAATTTAGGAACATAAAGTATAATTACTTTTCCTACACCCAAAAATCTAAGACATTTAGACAGGACAAAAAAAAAAAAAAAAAAAACGTCGAATTCAGTCATCGGAGGAACACGGAAGAGAACACTTCTTCCTCTACCACACCGCCTCTGAAGATGTCTACCGCAGCAGTAGGCGAAACGTTAGATAGAAATACTTATGGACCACGGCATTATAGCGCGAAAAAAAAAACTATTTTACTAGATTTGACCGACCGTGAAAGCCTTCATTCTTAATTTGAATCCTATTCGCGTTAGAAGTCAATGGCAGAGCGCCACAGGTACTGCCACACATACGTTCTTGCATGGACAACGTTGTATTTAGACCTAAAACTATTCGGAAAATTCTTCTGCAACTTGACACTGCGAAATCTTGATGGCCCAACGGCATTCCACCAATTGTCTCCAAAAATTCCGCACAAGAATTGGTTCAGTCTTTGCAAACTATTTTCACTGTCTTACAGTCGAAACGTTTTCCTTTCCATGTGGAAATATGCTAAGAGTCAATAAAATAAATTTCAGTTTTCCCTAGGATCGATACAGTCAAAGAAACCATAACTGATTTCGGAAAATGATCCCCGGGAACCAGAAGATGTTCCAGTGATATTTTCGATTTTCTTTGTACATTACAATATACCCTGTTGTTTTGAGGATTTTTTGGTTGGCGCAATAAAAAAAAACTTTTTCATCTGAGAACCAAATTTTTCCAACATCTTCGCGTCGTCTGAATCTTCTTAACAATGCTTGACATCTTTCTACTCTCTTATTCTTAACATCATTTGAAAATTTGTGACAGAATATTTTTTTAAACGGTCGATACTTCAAATCAATTTTAATAATTCTTCTTACTGATGATCTTTAAATAGTATTGGTTTTTGCTATTTTCCTTGAACTTACTGTATTACCAGGTTCGACAGCATAAAGAATTGTCCTTACTCTTTCAGTGTTTTCGATACTCCTTCCAGGTTTCTTTTTCTTTTTTTTTTTTCGTAAATGTCTGAGAAAATAACTAACGGTACTTAACTTCCAATTACGCTCTGGGTAATTTTTAATAATCTTTTTTGCGCCATTACTTTTGACTCTTATAAAGATTATTTCAAAATTTTATCTTCAAATGATAAATACGAGTATACCATTTTGAAATAAATCAATACACTGTCAAATTACTAATATTTACGTACTGTTGTCAAGGGATACAACAAATTTTTTTTTTTTTTCAAGGTATACTTTTTTAACGGTGATTGTGAAATGAAAAATCGAAACAAACATGCGGACGGAAGTGACGTCATCAACGTTACGGCTGTATTGGTCCCTCTCTAAAATTCTTCCGGAAGCTGTAAACTTTTGGGAAAAAGCCCTGTTTGTGCGGAGGGCGAATAATGTTATACAATTGACAAGAAAATGTAGCGACTCTCAAGTATTCGTCAAAAACGGCCAGACTCATTGCATACATATGTAGCGAACACACCATTTGCGGCGAAGTAGAAGTGCCGCAAGACCATTTGGACGCTTGTAGAGTGTGCAACTCTACGGGACAAAACTACGGCGTTTTACCAGGATCGCAAGCCGGAGATGGTATTCCAGATTTCGATTTTGTCTTTCACGTTTCCGCAATGCAAACGGAACGGTGCAATAAGTCTTTGACTGTTGCTTATGCCAATCATTGTCAACGGGAATCTGGACTGGATAGGCCAATACCTGAACATGCCAACTTATGTCCCAACAGTATCAATGCCAGTCGTTAGAAATTCCGTTGTCAATGGTCAAACACGAAATTTTACATGCTCTGGTCTTTTTGGTAAGTTTTTATGCCTTTTATCGGGAGAAAGATGGACCGCCCCTAACTGAACGCAGCCTGAAAACTGGAAAACCACATTTGAATGAAACCTTACAAACCTACCAGTGGAGCGAAAATGTGATAAAATTCTATCGGCGGACTTGGTTCGTCAAAGACGGATACGCCAATCGACAAGTCCATATGATAATCACTCCTAATGTAGTTCGTGAAGCTAGGCATTATTTCAATTGTACTGTACTAGAAGGAGCTGAGCTAGATGATCAAGGTGAAGAGAGAACGGCACTTACTCATTGGTAAAAAAGAGTTTTTGAGAATGAAGCTATAACAGGTACGCACACTCAAAACCTGATAATATCTAGAATCACGCTGGCTCTAATGGAAGATACTGGATGGTACATTGCCAATTACTCCATGGCAGGGGAGATGTCGTGGGGTAAAAAGTTGCAAAGACCTGGGATCCCAGAAGAAAGAACGATTTTTTCCGGCAGAAAGTCAAACGAGGTAGGTGTCCTTAGGTTGAGAACCACCGTTCAGTATACTGGACGGAAGGATTTCTTGTCAGGGCCCGCGTCCCGCAAACTAGACGATACTAAATAGCATCCTAATAAGCTATGAAAAATGCGTGATATGGCAATAACTTGCAAATGTTTTCGATACTTCTACCAGTTGTCTTTCTTCCTCTTCCAGGCTTCATCGGTAATGAACCATTAGTCTCAACTAATTGTCTTAGAAAATAAGTAACGGTACTTAACTTACAGTTCCGCTCTGGGTAACTTTCAATAATCTTTTTTGCACCATAACCTTTGACTCTTAGAGTTTTAATAATTTTTTTTTTTTTTCGAAGTTATACTTTTTTAACAGTGGTAGTGAAATAAAAAATCGAAACGAAAATGCAGACGGAAGTGACGTCATCAACATTACGGATGTATTGGTCCCTCTCTCTCCTATTCTCTTCCTTTCATCAGACATTTTTTTCTGCTCTTGGGAGTGATAGTTGAGCGCGTCACCAATGTTGCTCTTCGAAAAGTTTAACTTCTGTAGTGTGGCCCAGGCGCACTCTCTTCTTTTTTTCACTGGTAACTCGATGTTAATAGTGTCTCTGTTTTGTTATTTAATAAAACCCTATGACGCTGTATGGTGTATGGTGATATTTTTAACAAGGTTTTCGAAAAAAAATTGTTTCTAATACAAAACATGTAGTTTTTCGAAAACAATTTCCATAGCCTCTTTTCCGTTATTTTCTTAATATTTTCAAATAAATTATGTCATTTTAGAGTGAAAAATTCAATTTTGCAAAAGCCCCAAAGGCAATGATCAAAAATAGAGCTGCTTACTTGGCCCCCCTGTCCATTTTGGTTAGATATTTTCTCTACAATTAAGGAAAGCCCCCTAATATTGAGATTAAATTTCACAAAAATCCACCAAATTGAGAAAAAGTTATTCAGAACCAAATTGGGTTCAAAATAAATTTGGCCCACAGTGTATATCTCCTCGTATTTACTACGTGATTACTCGCAGCGGGCAAGTGACTATACACTGCTTAGTACGAGATAATTCGTAGTGGGCGTCTGATTTCAAGTAGTCAAATACGAGTCGTTAGTCGGCAGTCAACGTGTTAGAGACCCCGAAGCCAATAAGCTAGGCTCTTCTGAAAAACAATACGGTTTTCATTCTAAAAGATCAACAGGGGATCATATTTGGAACTCGACTATCGAAAAATATGGCCAATCTAGAATTGTAGCATTGGACATCTCCAAGGTTTTTGATCAGGTGTGGCAGGAAGGTCAAACCAAACCTCCATCGCCTTCGGAACGAATTTTGCCATTGGCTGAGAAGGCAGGTCACTGTATGCTGTGAGCGATGGTGTGTCTTCTGATACACTGCCTATAAATGCAGCGTTCCCCAAGGCTCAATTTTGTCCCCAACACAACACAACCTATACGTCTCATTATTTTTCTGTATTGGTCAGGATTTTTGACATGACATTTTGATATTAGAGTTCATGGTCGAAATTGAAGAAAAATATTGCTAAGACATACGTTTGAAAACCATAGCAATCTTTGATATATCTACGCTTGATGGCATCGCTATCTTCTGCCAAACCGCTTAATGTAGCCACTGCAACAGGCCTCGCCTGAGAACAGATTCACTCTATCAGCAGTAATTTTGATACCATCACCAACTCGGACCTTAAAAACCTAGTCAAATTCAATGCTTCCAAAACTCAAGCAACAGTATTATCAAATAAGAAATCTTCCTCCGATGATAACACAGTTTTAAGAATGTTTTGGCAAAACGTTTCTATCAACCCCTCAGTATCTGTTCTTGGGGTGGCCGCATCGACCAACTTTGTCTCAACATGACCATTTATCTTCTAGCGCCAAAACCGCTTCTCAAAAATTAGGTTTCTTGTTTCGTGCAAAAAACTTCTTCAATTCTCAACAACTTCTCCTTTATAAGGCTCCAATTAGACCATGTATTGAATACAGTTACCACATTTGGAGCGATGCTCTCAAGAGTCCCAAACATTCGTTGGCTCTATTAGATACACTATAAACGAGAGTAATAAAAATGACCTTTAATCCAACTCTCACCGATTCATTTCAATCTCTGGAACATAAACGCAAGGTGGCCGACTTGTCGTTATTGTATCGCTATCCCCGTAGTAGATGCTTTGGCGTGATCTAGCTAGCCGCATTCTAGCTATATACAGGGTGTTCATTTCAAGACTTACCACCCTATCATCTCGGAGTTGAGAAATTTTCGAAAAAATCCCTGAAACACGTCAACTGTAATTTGAAGGGGGATGAGTTTTTGTGCAAAATTCACCTGCTCCCTTTCAACCCCCCAGCCCTCAGAGCCACCCCCTAGAAAATCTCAAATGGGAAGGGGGGTGGTAAGTTTTAAAGTAAACACCCTATATATTATAGGAGAAGTTATTTAAGAACCAGAAGAACCTCACAGGCATTCCATCCGTATGTGGTGAAGCTGGCTACCTCGAGGACCTCTTTATGTAGGGCTTCTTTTTGGTGGCTGCCCACTTCTGGAGCTCCCTGCTTCCTAATTGATTTCCTGAACGATTTAATCTTAGCGTCTTCAAACGGATGGTTAATCGCCACTTAATTTCTTCCGCTCATGGTAACGCTTAGGCTCGACCTCGTCTTTTGTGAGCAGACCAATAGAAAAAAAAAACTTATATTGAGAATACGAAAAAAAGCAGAAGTTCCTACCCCTTACGGGAAACCAATTAGGCCCTAGGTCGGATCCAATTGAATCATAAGTATACCTGCTAGAATTGGGACCCAACTCGGACTCTCCTACCCCTATAATCCCTGACAATACCAGAAATTTCATTGATTGAATTGGATCTAATTGATTAATTGTGATTGTAGAAGTACAAAAATAAATTCAAAAAAAATCTTCACGTCGCATTATTGTTTCTTTATTGGTCAGGGTTTTTGACATGACATTTTGACATTGAAGTTCATTGACAAAATTGAAGAAAAATAGTGCTAAGACGTTAACGTACGTTTAAAAAACCATAGCAATCTTCGATTGTTTTTTTTTTTGACGGCCCGTTATCTCTTCTCAGGTGGATTGCTATGCTTGACTTATAGACTTTATTATACCTACCGCCTGAATGAAGCAGTATCACTTTAAATAGTGTCAGCTGGTTTCATACCATCAACTAGAAGTAAAGCATAACTCGACAAATCTCTTAGGATAATTGATTTGCGAATAAACACATACCTGAGTAAACTAAAAAAAGGTCTCACACTATTTTTACCTACCTAAGTATTGTTACTAGGATTAGGAGATAGCTTTTCAAATTATTTTTTTTAAATTCTAAGCCTTTCAAATCATTTCAGCCAATCACATAATGTTTAGTTTGTTACCGATACAATTTTTGTTTCCAAATTGGGCGTCGAAATTGTTCCGAAAATAACGAAACTTTATACGAGTGTCTGGCATTTCTGGCAGGCAATAGAGACGGCAGCTAGCAGCGCCAGCGCCTCTTCATTATTCTTTTATTAAGTGGCAAATTTGGTAGATAGCGCGAGAGTTTTATGAGGGGCTTTGTCAGGTCTGCTAAATTAACCGTGCGCGGGAAAAAGATGTTTGCATAACGTTACGCTCGACAGAAAAGTTTCTAACTGAGTTACCTTTGAACACACGCTTCCGCGTGATTATGCTTCGATATAAATTTCAAAGGCCATAATACGGCCAGCAATTTTATTTCATATTTGCCGTTTTTCCGTAAATAAGTTTTGCAACCCAAGGGAAGTTTATAAGAGACTTTTTTCTGCAAGAAATAAATTGTTCTTTTTATTGGAAAAATTCTTATTTGATATGTCAACATTAAAAAAGGTTCTTTTTTCTAATTTTTTTCTTCGCATTACTTTGACCGAAATGAAACTAAGTGAATAAGCTGAATAAGAAAATTGCAGCGCTGATAGTACTATTTTGCTTTTACAATTATTATACAGGGCTTTCATTTCAAAACTTGCCACCCACGTTATTTGCGTAAATAGGCATATTCGGGAAATCGCCGGAACACGTCATTAAATTTATTGGGGGGGGGAAGGTTTTTCATGTGAAACTGAACTTCCTTCCTTCAACCCTCTAACACCCAGCGCTACCACCCAAAAATTTTCAAATGAGACAGGGGGTCGAGTGATCGACCATTTCAAAGGGCTGTTCAATCTATACATTTTGTCATCCTATTTTTTGAATTTGACCTCAGTGTTGCAGAATAACACCCATTTCAATGTTCAAAAATGCCTATTCATCTTTGAACACGCCTGCTTCTTCACCTACCTTTTTATTACATCAACAGGTAAACAAGCAGGTGTGATCAAGGATAAATAGGCATTTTTGAATATTGAATTGAGTGTTATTCCACAACAACGAGGTCAAATTCAAAAAATAGGACGGCAAAATGTACAGATTGAACAGCCCTTTAAAATGTCAATGGAAAAGTATATTTGTTTTTCGGACAATGAAGTATATTTTTGATTTGATTTGATTTGATTTGATTTGATTTGATTTGATAGTTTTCGTTATCACTTATCAGTTATCACCATATACAGAGCTTTCATTTCAAAACTTGCCACCTACGTTATCTGCGTAAAGAGGCATATTTGTGGAAATCGCCGAAACACGTCAACAAATTTATTTAGGGGGAAGGTTTTTCACGTGAAACTGGACTTCCTTTCTTCAACCCTCTAACTCCCAGGGCTACCACCCCAAAATTTTAAAATGAGACAGGGGGTTGAGTGATATATCATTTTAA